TAGCCAGGATGGTCTCAATCTCCTGACCTCGTGATCTGCCCACCTCAGCCTCCCGAAGTGCTGGGATTACAGGCATGAGCCACCGCACCTGGCCTTTTTTTTTTTTTTTAATTTGAGACAGAGTCTTGCTCTGTTGCCTAGGCTGGAGTGCAATGGTACAGTCGTGGCTCTCTGCAACCTCTGCCTCCTGGGTTCAAGCAATTCCCCTGCCTCAGCCTCTTGGGTAGCTGGGATTACAGATGTGCACCACCATGCCCGGCTAATTTTTGTATTCTTTTAGTAGAGATGGTTTTGCCATGTTGGCCAGGCTGGTCTCGAGCTCCTGACCTCAGGTGATCTGTCCACCTCAGCCTCCCAAAGTGCTTGGGATGACAGGGGTGAGCCACTGGGCCCAGCCTCTTCCTTGCTTTTTGTCTTTACCGTGTCTGGGAGCTCATTTCTCATCTATAGCTCTTATAGACTCTTATCTGTGGCTGTGTGGCTGTTCCACCAGAAGCTTTACTATAACCCATTTTGCCAATCTCCATTGATAGACCTTTAGGCTATTTCTTGTCTTTTGCCAGTAGAAGCAACAACCACAAACCTACCTGCACAGCTACCTTTGGCCCTTGAGTTAATCTCACTTGAGGATAATTTCCCAGAAGATAAGTTACTGTGGTAAAGGGTATGCACATTTAAAAGTCTGATGTGATGTTGTTGAATTACCTTCTGAAGAGATGGCACTATTGGAAGATACAGCTCTCTGCATTAGGAGTTTCAGGCCTGGAGTGGGATGTGTGCTGAACCCCTCCTTAGGGGATCAGCTGAGGGGCTCATCCTCCACGGTGGCCCTGGGGTACCACCTGATGTATTGCCCAGTGGGAACAAGTGGGCACCTTATCCCTAAAAACCCACATTCTGCTCTATTCTTTGACAGATTGTTCCAGAAGCCCCTGACTGGACCTTCTAAGAGCCCGGGACAATGTGGGGAGGGTTGGGGGCTCCCTGTAAGACTCTAATATTCCCCATTGGACTCAATCCCATGAGGCTCTCATGTGATCTTTATCCCTCCAGGGACCCTCATGGGTCACACGTCACCTTTTGCTGATCCTGAAACATACTTAGTCTTTTAAGGTCCAGGCTCTGCTTTTAACTAATCTTCCCAAAAAGCCCTGCAAGGTACTTTGTTGGTTCCTTTTTCAGATGAGAAAACTAAGGTTCCAAGAGGTGGAACATCTAAGGCCACACTGGTACATGGTGGAACTAGGGTTTGAAATCAGGTCTGACTTCCCATTTTCACTGATGAGGAAACTGAAGCTCAGAGAGGCAGAGGGACCACCTCGAGGTCACACAGCTTTTGAGCTTTGGGACTGGGTTCAGACTCAGGTCTGACTTTTGAGCCTATGACACCTTCCTTTCCCTTCTGGGAAGTGTGTCAGAATTCCATACACGGGCTGGATTTCCACGTTCTGTCAAGGCACAACTTGTTGGCTGCTGTTTCTTGAGAGAAGACGTAGGTCTCCGTAGCCAGGCTCCTGAGAAGCCCCCGTGTGAGAGAATTGCAGGACTGGGATGGGGATCGGGGGAGGGTATTTTCTCTAGACAGTGCCAGCTCCAGGCCCTTTCCTCATGTCCCCTCCCTGCTGCCCACGACTCTATTCCAGTGGGTTCTTTTGTGTGGAGTCATCTCCTGCAGCTGCTGGAGACGCGCGACCCCCTGAAACGGGCCCTCCGGGACACCCTCCCTGAGGACATCCTCAGCCAGGAGTTCCACCCGGAAATGTGGAAACACTCGTCCTATTCTGATGTCACCTTCCGATCAGGTATGGCCATCCTGGGCAGGCCCAGTCTTGCTCTGGGACCACAAAGGCTGGGGACCCTGGAGCTCTAGTTCTCGAGAGCATACGGATCAGACGTTGTGTCAAGCGGTCAGATACTTACATGCCAGTCGGGTTTGGTGGCTCAAACCCATAATCCCAGCACTTTGGGAGGCTGAGGCAGGAGGATTACTTGAGCCCAGGAGGTCGAATCTGCAGTGAGTCATGATTGCACCACTGCACTCCAGCATGGGTGACAGAGTGAGACCCTATCTCAAAAACAAAAAACAAAACCAACTTGCTGCTTGTTCAAACTTTTTTTGCAGTATTTCCATAGCACCTGCTGCTTTTTTAGAGAAGTCATATCAGTTATTTTATGGTTTTCTGAATACTTACATCTTTTCTCTAAATTGGCTCTTTGTACCTTAGATTTATGTTAAAAAGGAAATTGTCTATCACTACCATTAATAGAAAATCAATTTAACTCTCTGTAAAGAGAAGATAGTCCTAAAAAGAAATACTGTACACCCAGAGGTGGGTAATGAAACACTGATATATTTGTATACATATGTGTGTATATATATATGTGTGTGTGTGTGTGTATGTATATGTGTGTGTGTGTATATATATTTATATATGTATTTTTTGACACAGACTCTTGCCCTGTTGCCCAGGCTGGAGTACAGTGGCACAGTCTTGGCTCACTGCAACCTCCACCTCCAGGGTTCAAGTGATTCTTCTGCCTCAGCCTCCCGAGTAGCTGGGACTACAGGTGCGCACCACCATGCCTGGCTAATTTTTGTACTTTTATTAGTAGAGATGGGGTTTCACCATGCTGGCCAGGCTGGTCTCGAACCCCTGGCCTCAAGTGATTTGCCCACCTCAGCCTCCCAAAGCTAGGATTACAGGCATGAGCCACTGTGCCTGGCTGAAACACTGTTTTATTAAATTCTCCTGGATTCTGTGACTTGCTGAGGGCTGTGAATTTTGAGAAGAGTTTTTTCCTGTGTTAAGAAGAGAGATTAGCCCCACACTGAGACTGCCTCTTTGTTGTAATTAAACAGAAAATGAAAAAGGGAATCTCTTTCAAGCTAAGGCTCCAAAACTACCTCAGCCATTCTTGGAAGCCTGGGGTTGGGGTTTGGGTGCTCTGGGTACCTCCTCTCTGCCTGTCAGCAGAAGTGGGTGTGTGTAAGTCTCGGTCCTGGACTCCCTCTGTTCTTGAAAAGGCTTAAGGCTGTTTCCCATCCTGGCCAGGGAGAGGTGGGAAGACACACCATGTGTCTGGCTCTGTCTCAGGGTATGGCCCCATGGTAATAGCCAGACCCCACTCTGAGTGTGTGCAGAGTGTACTGATGTTCTTTTCTTACTCCTAGTGTCTGGAAGCCTGGGAGCCAACCTGGAGGGGACCCTTCTCTTCTCTCCTGCCTCCTTTCTCCCCCGTTCTGCCACCGTCAACCTGACCATCCACACCATGGGCCGTGCCTTCAACCTCCTGGAGGTTAGAGGGGAGCCTTGCTATAGCCTCTGCAGGGCCTCTCCTAGACTTGGGGCCAAAAAAGATCCCAGTCACTTATCTGTCTGTCCATCCATCCCTTGACTCCATTGTTCGATCCCCTCCCCCAGTATCTAGTCACCCACCAACCCATAGGTATGTCCATACATCTATCAATTCACCTACATGCCTCCATCCCTCCATCCATCCCTCCCTCCTCCATCTATCCATTCACCTGCTTATCTGTCCATCTGTCCATCCACCCACATCGCTCTCATTCATCTCATCCATCCACTCACCCACCCATCCATTCATCCACTCACCCA